GTTGCTCAAGTTGTAGAGCACTAGCTTTAAGGAAAAAAACCTCAGGAACAATGGGTAGGGCCTGGGTTCAAGATAAGATTAGGACTGGCACAGAAGAAGAAGAAAGAAGAAGAAGAAGAAGAAGAAAGAAGAAGAAGAAGAAGAAGAAGAAGAAGAAGAAGAAGAAGAAGAGGAGGAGGAGGAGGAGGAGGAGGAGGAGGAGGAGGAGGAGGAGGAGGAGGAGGAGGAGGAGGAGGAGGAGGAGGAGGAGGAGGAGGAGGAGGAGGAGGAGGAGGAGGAGAAGAAGAAGAAGAAGAAGAAGAAGAAGAAGAAGAAGAAGAAGAAGAGGTGGAAGAGGAGGAGGAGGAAGAGGAAGAAGAAGGAGGAGGAGGAGAAGCAGGAGGAGGAGGAGGAGGAGGAGGAGGAGGAGGAGGAGGAGGAGGAGGAGGAAGAAAAAGAAAGGTATGGATTTTGACTCTCGGAATTTTTTTTTAATACATGAAAGTATATAGAGAACTATTAAGAAACAAGAGCGGAGGCACCAGTGGTTCATGCCTATAATCCCAGCTATGATCTGAGGATCATAGTTCGAAGGTAGCTCGGGCAGAAAAATCCATGAGATTCTTATCTCCATTGAGCTACTCAGAAAAAGCCAGAAGTAGCGCTGTGGCTCAAATTGTAGAGCACTAGTCATGAGTACCGGGAGGCTCAGGGACAGTATCCAGGCCCTGAGTTCAAGCCTCAGGACCAGCACAAAAAGAAAAAGAAAGAAACAAGAAGGAGACAGAGAATAAGTGAGGATGAAAATGAATAAATATGGTAGAGCACATTATATGCATTATGAAAATGCCATAACACGGTTTTATACATTTAGCAATCTTTTTTGGTCTACTTGCATATGAAATTACCTAAATTGTCCTGTGATTTTAATTCATCCCACAGACCTTTACCTATGCATCTCTACTTATTTGAGTGTTTTGGAGGGTTGGTGAGTAGAACAAAGTCCCTGTTTTCCATTCAGAGCCTGGTTCTGTACAGATGACAGTTCTACCTATTTTACAGTAGCTTAGTGCCATTCTCTCTCCCTTACTCTTTTATAGCTGAGTTATTAACATTTGTTGGCAATTTCATTAACTATTCTGAAATAATGACTTGTCAGTAAATGAATACCTATTCTTGTATGCTTTATCATCATGACAGAATCCTCGGCACACAGTGTTGAGTCTATAATACAACCCAATTAAATGTTTGTTTGAATTCTAGAGAACTACCTTAAGGACTACTTATAGTCCCTTTAATAGGATCCCTTAAATTTGTTACTGTTATTTCTTTCATCAAAACTAGGAAGGAAACATGTATTTTGAAATGGCTTCCCAACTATCTTCTACAGAATAAGTCCATTATGTGAGATTGAAAGCTGAGCTAGCCATTGACCAGATGGGGAGAATTAGATGAGGAGATTCCCAGGAGGTTTTAATCCTAGAGTTTTTAAATCCCTTTATGTGTAAGATGGAAAATCCTTAATGAGCTATTTTTTCAAATCTGTATTCCCAAGCTGCTCCCTGTTCCTCAGTCTCGTGTCTGCATGGCTGGCTCCGGAATGTTCTATATGGTCTCTGCTTTGATGAGCTTATCAAGTTGACTCTAAAATCCAACCATGACCATCTGTATTCAGGCCACAACGGTGATGAACTGCAAATTTCCTTTCTACTTCATAATGTGGACTCAAAAATTATTACATTGCATATAAAGTTCCCAGACACTTACGTATGACTTCTGTCTAGCAAGAAATAAGAAAGAGCTGGAGAATGGCAATCCTACATATTCAGGAGGCTGTGATCTGAGCATTGTAGTTGGAAGCCAGTCAGGGCAGGCAAGTCCGTGAGACTCATCTTCAATAAACAACCAAAAAAAGCAGGCAAGTCTGTGAGGCTCTTATCTTCAATAAACAAAAAGCAAAAAGTAGAACTGTGGCTCAAGTAGTAGAGTACCACCTTTGAGCAAAACAAAAAGGAAAGTGAGAGTGTCACGTCCTGAGTTCAAGCCTAATAGCAGCAGACACATGCGTGCCACACACACACACACACACACACACACACGACAAATAATGTCCATACATTAGAATGTCAGTTAGTCACACATTCTAAGAGGTGGTAATGAGGCCCAACACAAGACTGATACAAGCGACAGAAAAGGAAAATTCAAGTCCCTCATGGCTGGAGTAGAGCTGAAGAATGCAATGTAAAGTTCCTGCTAGAGCAATAGGTAATGACTCTACTATTAAGAATCTAGCAGTGAAGTCAATTAAAAGTAAGTTTAAACAAATTTTGGTGAAGAACTAGATCTAAGGAGTGGTGTCAGTATATGTTGTTTGAGTAAACTCACTCTTCTGAGGGGAGGTATTCAACGCCAGGTTATTGTTTGAACATAGCATCAGGAATGCATGTGACCATACGTCATTCTACTAGGTCTCAAGAGAGATGATCTAATGATTGCCTGGCCTTAATAATAACAGAAATGGGGCTGGGAAGGTGACTCAGTGAACTCAGGGCAGGGGCACCATCCTTGAGCTTCTTTTGCTCTAGGCTAGCACTCTACCACTTGAGCCAACAGCATCCTTCCAGCTTGTTCTATTTATGTGGTACTGAGGAATCAAGCCCAGGGCTTCATGCATGCCAGACAAGCACTCTACCACTAAGCCACATTCCCAGCCCCTAGTAATATTCTTGTATCACTTCAAAATTAATTGACCTATCAACTATATTGTATTGGAAATATTGAAAACATAAGTGGAATTTATAAAAAAAAATTTAGTTCAATTAGAGGTAATTTTCTTATTATCATGGTTCTCCTCATGCTGCCCATGGAATGAAGCTTATTGTATTACTATACCATTTTGTACAGAGATTCATTTGAAAATAGCTGATATTTTTCAATATTATTTCAAGAGGAATTAGACAAAAATCCATGTCTTGTACTAAGTAGCTTAAGCTCTATTCAGAAATCAAATTTTTACTTAAGTATATTGTGGCATTCATTTATTTATACAAAACTACTTTGGGGACTGGGAAGGTGGCTCAGTGGTAGAGTGCTTGCCTTGCATTCATAAGACTTTGGGTTCGATTCCTCAGCACCACATAAGCAGAATAAGCCAGAAGTGGCTCTGTGGCACAAATGGTAGAGCACTAGCCTTAAGCTGAAGAGCCCAGAGTTCAGGCCCTCCGACCAACAACAACAACAATAAAAATACTTAGAATATTATGCTCCCTTTTATACAATACACACACACACACACGCACACACACACACACACACACATACACATACACACACATGCCTGTTTTTATACTTCCAGATTCCTTTCTAGCTAATTAATAGTAATTGTTTGATGATGTCCTTTCCAGTGCCCATGTCATCAGTTTATCTTTTGTATGCTGAAGGACTTGTAACAGAATTTTTAGCAAAGTTCACATCAATCAAATATGAAGTTTCTTGCCAAGCTTTTATTTTTGTTTTATTATCATCTATGTATTTGACAATGTTTCTATGTAAAATTTCGTAAGTTTGCTGAAAATCCAATGAAAGACAGTGGGTATGTAAAAAAAAGACAGAATTTTATTGTTGATATATTGTATTTGCAAAAATCATTCAACTCAAGGATAATTAATATTTCCAGGATTACACAAAGATTCACAAATGAGCATTCCACAAGGGACTATAGGACTTCTGCTTCTAAGAATTTTGGACCTCATAGGAAAAGTTCTAACCAAATTTTATTTCTTACGTGTTCCATAATTATCCAGAAGTGGGTTTGCCATGATCTGTTCTTTCTACAATGATTGTAAAGAATGTCTTTATCAAAAATTCATTTTGGTTATTGATTTATTTTTTCAATCAATGGGTATTTTTCTATTAGAGACTTAGAAACAATAGAATTTACTTCAGCTCAGCTTTGGTGCTCACAGCTGGTACTGTACCAACTGAGCCAAACCAGTCGAGTCATTGTGCTGGTTATTTTGGAGATAAGTGTGCCAAAGATTTTCTACTGGGGTTAGCTTTGAATCTTGATCCTCTCTAATCTCAGCCTCTTAGGAAGTAAATGTTACAAACATGAGTCATCAACGCTCAGCTTAAATTATTCATTTCTAATAACGAAGCATCATCAAAAAAATAAAAATCATCAATACATCCATGTACAAAAAGGTTGTTATAATTTTATGGAATTGCTAAAAATGTTCTCCTATGAGATGGAAAAATACCTCCTTTCTATAACATGCTTACTGTCTATTTCACACACCTTAAATGCCAACCATGATAGACTCTAAGAAGCTTGAGGACTGACAGGGTATCCTATACAAAGTTCTCATTCCTATCAGGTACCTCTCATTCACGTTTGTAATCCTAGCTACTCAGGAGGCTGTTTCAAATCCAGCCCTGGCACAGATACCCCTGAGATTTTATCTCCAATTCGTCACCAAAAAGCCTGGGAATGGATCTGGGGCTCAAGTAGTAGAGTTCTAGTCTTGAGCAAAAAAAGCTTAGGGACAGCAGCCAGGTCCTGAGTTCAAGCCCCAGGACTGGAATACACCCACTAAAAAAGTTCACATTCCTATACATTGCATACTATTTCCCAAATGTCTCAAAGAGTCTGGAATGTCTCCCCCTTGAGGTCTTTTAGAATGCTTTCATTCCCTTAATCTTCTTTAGTGATCTATTGCTTACATTATTAGGAAGGCATTTAGGGCAAATCAACTCTACAGGTTGCAAGCACTAATGATCTTATAAATTATTTTATCTTGTGGGAAATATTTTTTTACTAAAAAACTTGAACCATTCTCACTATATTCAACACAAGCTTCAATTGTATTTAAATACAATGCCTTCTTTTTATTACAGATATTTTCTTATTTTTATGTCTCATTTTTTAAAAAATATTATCTTTCAGTCATCACACAGTGTCTTCATAATATTTGTGAATCCCAACAAATGTCCTCAAGGGTGTTTTCATTTTTATTTTCCAGGTTTTCTCAGCACAGGGGATCAGGCTGCGAAAGGAAACTATGGCATTCTTGATCTCATTCAGGCTCTAAGATGGACTAGCGAGAACATCGGATTCTTTGGCGGTGACCCCTTGAGAATCACTGTATTTGGATCCGGTGCTGGGGGTTCATGTGTCAATCTGCTGACTTTATCCCATTATTCTGAAGGTAACCGTTGGAGCAATTCAACCAAAGGTATTATGCAGGTTGCAAATTTTGACAATTTTGGTGTCTGCATGCCACCACCATCAGTAGTATGTGATGCTTTGTATATAGTTCTCTGTTCAAACTGACTGTTAGGTTGAACTCAATACCTGTTCAAAGCTATGTTTCTTCAGTTTTTCTATGCATGTTTAAACTTTTCGTCAGAGTCTTTCCTTTGTCCCCTGTGGAGTTTGGTAAGGTTTCCTTTTTTGACTATGCCTCAGAAGAGTTAGCTTTATATTTTCATTTTTCTTTCCTTCAAAGGGTGATTGTGGGAGGAAATCAGGTAAAAACATTCACAGTTGTCTGTTTACTCAGTAATCAAAATGAAAGTTCTATATAAATGCAAGAACTGTACATAATCTATTCTCAAGACAATGATATGGTTAGCCCTTTATTATTTATTTAACATGACACTCATAAAGCAGTCATAAGCTAGTTTGTCTGGGAGCATGTGATTTCAGTTGCTGTCTGAGAAAAGAATGGATTTTGCATGCATGATCCAAAATTGTCAAAGCATCCAGGCCACTAGTAAAGCCTTTGATTAAAGAAGAAAAATACATTTGATTTTTTGCTTTGCTATTTGAAACTCAAAAAGTGGTTTTATTTCCCCCTTAAATCTGGGCAAAGCAGCAAGGAGCACCGCTGCTGCTGTAATCCATGAAATATAATTTTTTTTCTTTTATTTTGTTCCCATGTCCTGGCTTTGACACTCTTTTTGAAAAGTGCATATCCAAAGCACATCAGGTTGCTTATTATCAGCTCCATTTTGCCATGTGGTTGATCATTCATTCTAAATGCCTTATTAACTTGAAATATCCACAAGAAAAGGCTTGCTGCAGAAGTCCAAAAAAACAAATACTCTCTCCATTATTTATTTATATGTGACGGAGAGGAAGAAGAGGAAGACAGAGAATATGTATCAACATTTAGCATCCTTTATTTTCAGCTTCTTACTTGTCATTTCACATACATGAAAAAAATTAAAACACACTGATAGGAGTAACTTATAAAGATACTTATTTACTGAATTTATTACATAAATACCCAATAGAATTGTTTTTTAGGTACCAAGTTGCAATTCCAACAGAATAGATAGAGTCTCAATGAGTATATGCATTTAGAGAATCATGTTTCATTATAGATTTCCTTTATTGACCTGGTTTACATAGCATCTCATTTAGGGTTACATCAACAACCACGGGTGTAATAAATGAGTTAACCTCTTTTAACAGTCTTTCATTGTAGCAGTCACAGAAGTGTGTCCAGCTGAATGTGATTTGAGGAACATAATTCCAATCAGTATTCTGATTTTAAATGCAGCAAGAATGAAGATGAGAATTTTCAACTACAGGGAGATTTTGATCTATAATTAATTGGCTTATTTTGAAGCTACACATTTGTGTTTTACTAACAGAGTTTTCTAGTCTTAGAACCAAAGCAGTTCCAATACTTAGAAGTTACCATTAAGCAATCTATAAATAATTCTCAGGGTTGGGTTCCAGGCCTGGCTCAGGTGGTAGAGCACTTGCTTATCAAGTACAATGCTTTTACTCACACACACACACACACACACACACACACACACACACACACACACACAACTGTCAGGGACATTAGGCACCAAAGTCAGTTTCAGGCCCATTTCAAACAAACATTAGAAAAAGAGACAAATCAGGATTCATGGACTTACTCATCATTTACAAGGTGGGATGTAGGAGCAAGTAGCTTTGCCAATAGCTGAAAATGTCACCTTCTATCATAATCTCAGGCAAATGGTTCTGTAGCTGGTCAAAAACATGGGTTTGGGTTTTACTTTGTCTTGAATGCGTACCCAAAATGAGCTCCTGACACAGCAGGAAGTGTTCAATCTCCAGGAATCATCAGGTTGATTCTACCTCTCAATTCTACCTCCAGTGCAAACTTACCTTTGAAAACTGTACACTTAACAAAAGCATACAACATTGTGCAGGCATGAGGCCACTATGTGCCAATTCAGCCATGAATACACTCAACAGCACTCTCTTATGATTTCCTCAATACCACCTACCTGGCATAAAGGCACTACTAAAGATGATGTGCAATTTCCATTAAATCTGCCTTGGTTTACTGAGCTAATGTCATCAAATCCCTACATTAGGGAAGATATTCTATAAACCACCAGGATTATTTTTGTTATAAAATTTTAAATTATTAAAACATTTCTCAGCTCAATTTATTTTTAATTTTATTTTTAGTACTTGTACAAAGGAGTCACCATTCTACCAAATAGTATATAAATACAATGAATCTTGATTAATGTCACTGCTTTTGCCATTCTCATCCCTCCTAACCCTTCTTTCACTCTTCTTAATTGTATAGAATATGCATTTAATTTCATTACTGTGTTTTCCTCCTTTTTCTTTGTCTACCCCCTTTCCTTCTACCCCCAAGCCTACGCATTTAAGTCATAAGTTTTTGTATATTTTCTCTATCTTACTCATTCTACCAAACTAAACATGTTAGATAATCAAAACAAATTCAAATTAGTACTTTTTAGATGTTTTGAATGTTTCAGTATTGTGTAGGAGCACACTATAGACATTAAAAAATATCTCTATCTTTGAAGAGAAATGTGAAACTTCAAATTCAGACACTAGAATCTTTGTAAAGAGTTTTATGCTCACTAACCTATATGAATATTTGAACATGTTTTAAGTAATTGAACAATAAAACTGCATGTAGAAATTGATAATATTGGAAAGTGTTTTAATGGAAATAGGCAAATTATATTTGCAAAATAAGAATTGTATTAGAAAACACTCTAATGAGTAAGGTGCATTTATAAATTTAAATTGAGTGTAACTTTTATCTAGCTGCTCAGGAAGCACATTTAAAATTCTTTTTTTTTTTTGTTTTTTGTTTTTTTTGGGTCTGGTGGTGGGGCCTGGACTCTGGGCCTGGGCGCTGTCCCTCAGCTCTTCAGCTCAAGGCTAGCGCTCTACCACTTGAGCCACAGCGCCACTTCCGGCTGTTTTCTTTTTTGCTTATGTGGTGCTGAGGAATTGAACCCAGGGCCTCAGGCATGCAAGGCAAGCGCTCTACCACTGAGCCACCTTCCCAGCCCCGACATTTAAAATTCTTTAGGACAATTAAATAGAAAGCAGTGGACCATGCATGTTTTTATTTTATGATAAAATACGAAGGTGTACATTCAGCGGTGGAAAAGAGTAAATCATCCCCCACTAAATCCTCTTGTTGACAGATTTTTCTTTAGCCTAGTGAGCATACTTCAAATGTGTGTCTTCCTATGAAAAGTGAATATTCAACACACTATATCTGACAGGAAGATCTGAAAAGGTGATGTCTAAAGTGATATTCTGTTTTGTGTAACTGTAGGGCCATCCCCAGGGTATTAAATAAAATCTCCAGCCCCTGTAGTTGTGTCAAAACTCAACAATATTTTTCAGATAAACTCTAGCTAAAGCAAACATATCTAGTCATTTTGGAAGAAGACAGACACAGTCAATGAAGAAAACATTCCACATAGACAATACATGTCTTATCCGATAGTCAAGAGAGCATTGGCTGTATCTAGAAGGTAATGACATCCTCACTGAGGAAATTTCTTGGAGCTATTTTTATCTCTAGCACTCACAACTTCTTCTCTTTTCACTTCCAGCCTCTTTGAGACTGCAAACTTTAGACTTCAAGCAGGTGTGACTCAAAAGTACAAGATATAGATCCACCTTTCTGATTCATTATACCCTGGGAATGACCTTGTTTACCTTTTCTTAGGCAAAAATAATGTCTCTGTTTCTTGAAATGTACCTGGGGTTTTATATACATGTCTAAAATATCAGATGTTATTGTTTTTACCACAATGTTCTTCAAAGATCATCTGAAACTCTTTGTTGATTTTCCCATAGGACTTTTTCAACGAGCAATAGCTCAAAGTGGAACAGCGCTTTCCAGCTGGGCTGTTAGTTTCCAGCCAGCAAAATATGCTAGAATGTTGGCCACCAAAGTTGGCTGCAATGTTTCAGACACAGTAGAATTAGTGGAATGCCTCCAGAAGAAGCCTTACAAAGAACTCATTGATCAAGATATTCAACCAGCCCGTTACCACATAGCCTTTGGACCTGTGATTGACGGTGATGTCATACCAGATGACCCTCAGATCCTAATGGAACAAGGAGAGTTTCTCAACTATGATATCATGTTAGGAGTTAACCAGGGGGAAGGGTTAAAATTTGTTGAAAATATCGTAGATAGTGATGATGGTATATCAGCTAGTGACTTCGACTTTGCTGTTTCTAATTTTGTTGATAACTTATACGGATACCCCGAAGGCAAAGATGTTTTGAGAGAAACTATTAAATTCATGTATACTGACTGGGCCGACCGCCATAACCCAGAAACCAGAAGGAAGACCTTACTGGCTTTGTTTACGGACCATCAGTGGGTGGCACCTGCTGTAGCTACTGCAGATCTTCACTCAAACTTTGGTTCACCCACATACTTCTATGCCTTTTACCATCATTGCCAAACAGATCAGGTTCCGGCCTGGGCTGATGCAGCCCATGGAGATGAGGTTCCCTATGTATTGGGAATCCCCATGATTGGCCCTACAGAGTTATTTCCTTGCAATTTCTCCAAAAATGATGTGATGCTGAGTGCAGTTGTAATGACATACTGGACAAATTTTGCTAAAACTGGGTACGTACCTACACAATGAAGTTTGCTCTAATTCTTTTACAAAATGATGCTTTGAATATTTTAATGCAATACGTATTTACCCCCAAATAACTTAATAGATTTATAAAACTATTCTATATTGCAATGTGTCAAGTAGCTGCTGCTTTATTAGGTTTTGCTTTTTGGATGTTTAGTAAGAAAGTTTATGTTCCTATTGTATTAGTCGATAAATGTAATTTTGGGGTTTTTTTTAGTTACACAAGACTTCCTATTGTTTCATAGTAGTTTTCAGTTCATAATTCCCTTTTTATCCACCCAACTACCTTCAGAGGTAGGCAAGTCGGATAATATTAATTTCATTTTATATAGAAGGGATATGAGTTTCTGAGAGGTTCAAACAGGTATTTATGTTTGATATGTAGTAGCACGAGGAATCAAGTCTTCATCTGTTAGAACTTATAAGTACTTTCTACTCTTTCATGCTATTTTATGTAGGTGACTTATCAGACAAATCAGACACACCCACACACACACATCTACTGAAATAACTCTTTTAAAGTCTTCAAGTTGATAGTAGTCCATCTCTATGTAAGCAAAGAATAAGAATATGGAACTTTTTTGTCTTCTGTTATCATCTATTAATCTGCTTATTAGGACATTTGAATTTCTAAATTGAGCCAAGTTAATATCTAAAGTTAAGTTACCTCTTCAATTAGATACTAACTTGGTAGTATTTTTGACAATGAAAAATAGAATAATTGTTGTGTTCTCATAATTTCTTCTTTTTCTTTCTTAGCGACCCAAATCAACCAGTCCCTCAAGACACAAAATTCATCCACACCAAACCCAATCGCTTTGAAGAAGTAGCATGGACCAGATATTCTCAGAAAGACCAACTGTATCTCCATATTGGATTAAAACCAAGAGTGAAAGAGCATTACAGAGCCAACAAGGTCAATCTGTGGTTGGAGCTGGTACCTCATCTGCATAATCTCAATGACATTTCTCAGTATACCTCGACAACAACTAAAGTGCCATCAACTGACATCACTCTCAGACCAACAAGGAAGAATTCCATACCGGTCACATCGGCCTTTCCCACTACAAAGCAGGACGATCCCAAGCAACAACCAAGTCCATTTTCAGTGGATCAAAGGGACTACTCAACGGAGCTGAGCGTCACCATTGCAGTCGGGGCGTCTTTACTCTTTCTGAACATCCTAGCCTTTGCGGCCCTGTACTACAAAAAGGATAAAAGGAGACACGATGTGCACAGGAGGTGCAGCCCGCAGCGTACCACCACCAATGACCTGACCCACGCACAAGAAGAAGAGATCATGTCCCTCCAAATGAAGCACACTGATTTGGATCATGAATGTGAGTCAATCCATCCACATGAGGTGGTTCTGCGGACCGCCTGCCCGCCAGATTACACACTAGCTATGAGGAGGTCTCCTGACGATGTTCCCTTAATGACACCTAACACTATTACTATGATTCCCAACACGATACCGGGAATCCAGCCCTTACACACATTCAATACATTCACTGGAGGACAGAACAACACCCTGCCCCATCCTCACCCCCACCCCCATTCACATTCAACAACCAGGGTATAGCCAGATAGGAGAAACAAACTTTTTTTTTTTTTTTTTGGATGGACTGCAGCAAAAGCTAACTGAAGATTCCTTGGCTCTCAACCTACAAGACTCTCACTATTTAAATAAGGAGGAATATTGTGTGCATATACATATCAAGAACTTTGGGGGTTTTGAAAAAAAATGAATTGTATATATATATACATATATACACAAAGAGCTTAAACTTTACAAATTTCAATTGCATAAAGCAATTGTTCTGAATGATACTTCCACATTCACATTCAAGAATTATTTTTTTTTGAAGATTTCAGTTACGTAATGGAATTAGGCATGTGGAACACCAAACAGGAAAGAACTATATCTGAAATATAAAAATTAAAATTAAAAAACTATGAATATGCATAAGGGACACCCCAATGGAATGTCAGATAATTTTCATCTGTTTTTATTTGGAGCCGTTTTATTGTGTAGACCATATTTACATATTTGGATAAGTACACACAAGGCACCAATGCTGTTAGTGGCCTTAGCCGAGGCTCATGCTGAAATTTGCCAGTAAAACAAAGAAGTCTAAAGACTGGCAGGTACAACATATCACATAAGTGCTGTCAGTATAAAGTTGTGGGCATAAAGGAGACTGGATATTTTTAGCACGATGTGCATGATAATTTATATGCTTGGTGGCTGTGCTGCTGATTAAGCCGTAATTAAAATTGTTCTCATCCCTTTGGAGTTTTTAATAGAAGCTTCCTCCATCAATTGGCAGAACCTAAAGAAGATTTTAAGGGGCAAAAGTAATTATAATAAAATAATTTGTGATAGTCTCAATAATAGAAGGAATTAGTTATTAAAGGTATTTCAAGAAACTTTAGGCATAGTGGTGAATACTTGCTGATATGAATCCTAGAGGGGAAAAAAATCTTGTGTTTTTATTGTTCTTTTCTTTGCCATCAAAATAATAATTTCTAGAAATACAATGCTAATTGGACACATGTTACAGGATCTCTAATTTGTTGTGGCTTTTGTTACTCTGAATTATGGTAAGGTGAAATGTGTCAATGAGTCTATCAAAACAGGTTTTTTTTTAATCATAGGAGGATGTCCCTTATTACCACTCAGATTACAGTTCTTATTAAATTGATTTACTCATATTGCATGACAAAATGTTTATGGCTTCTAATTCAGTACAAAGTTATGTCCTCCTTCACATCCCTTACCTCTCTCACTGAGGTTCGTCCACTGGAATCTATTCACGCAATCTCAGTAGAGTACAACATAGATACAGAAACTAGGACGTCAACACCTGGTGGAAGTTAGTCTTACACTTACGTGTGATTTCAATTAAATATTCTAAGACCACAGGAAGCTCTTTATCCTCCTGATGTTTACCAGTAATATCAGTATATCACAGACCTTTCCAGATGTTTGTATATGTAATCAGATGTACATTTATATTAAAAAATTGAGATGGACTTAAAGAGCACATCCTGATAAATACTTTCTCTCTTACCTGTACTATATTTCTATTAGACTAAAGTTATGTGGTTTTTTTTTACATTTTTTCAGATGACTAGCAATTTTGATAGTTTGTAAGATAATGCAAAGAACTTTCTCTGACAAACTAACTGCAGTAACAGAAACCTTTCTTTTCAGTTACTCTTTTTCAAGAACGAAAGCTTATTATACAAAAGAAAAAAATTGTATACTACTTGATGGAAACAACTTTGTACATCTTGACCATGCCATTGGTCATTGCGTGAAATAAAGATAATCTGGATAATGACTATTAGTCAAGTGCTAAGAGACATGATCTTTGCTCATTAAAGAGCTAAAATGTTTATTGCTGTTTTGTCTTTTTTTTTAAATAACAAAATCAAAAGAAAACATGACTGTCTTAAGGACTCACTTTTCTAGACCAGTCAGGTTTTTGAAGACATACATGTAGGTAACTTCTACTGAAAATACAACCATGTATTTAAAAGCAAGTTTCATCTGAATTGTAACTCTTGAAACTTTAACATTATGAATTTGTAACTCCAAGCACTCTGAGACAAATGGTAGCTTTGTATTTTTGAATACCCCTTATGTAAAAGTGTTATAAAAATGAGTTGCCAATTGTTTTCACTTAGAAATGTTAAGTGAAATGCTAAAGGTCTATTGGAAGTAAATGAACCATATCTCATGAAATACAAACGTGTGGCTTCAAAATATAAGGGTAATGAAGCTCTTATAAAGTGTGGATTACAAATTTATCCTTCTAAGAGAATTTAAAAATGCTGAGCGAGACTGATAGTAAAAGATCAAGGAATTTCCTTGATTATAAATTCTTCTTCTCATTATTAAGTCTCAATAAAATGTAGATATTGATTTATAATTCCAAATAAAACTCTTGGCTAGAAGCAAAGTCTTCAAAATTCAGAGCTGTCTACAAACACCATTTTTTTTGCCTAATGTGGTTTTGTTTTCAGATTGTGAACGGCTAGTGTAAACCCATAAAAAGAATTGTGTTAGCATCTGAAATATTGTTTAATCAAAAAACTATCTTTCACTATAATGATTAAGCAAGGATAAAAATCAGAAATAGAAGGTCCACCATAAACCAAAAAAAGATATAAGTGAATGTTTTCATATGCATTACCACACTGGGCAAAATCATTCTCTATTACTGGTGTTTGTATTTCTACTGGCCCACTGATTGCTTTCTATTTTTCTGTCAATCCACCTATGTAATAACACAACTGATACCTGCTTTATATTAATTTAGGGAGCTTTTGTAAGGAACCTGTTTGTTCTTCTCTCTAATTGAAGATGGTAATAACTTTGTGTGGGAGACAAAGCAGTTAGGTTTTAGTACTCTTCTCAAGTCATACAGTCAAACTAAATGTGAGTACTGGTTTTCTAGTACTATTTTCTAGTTTTCACAATGAAAAATGATGTCCCACATTAAACAGAGCAGTAAAATTGTTTTAAAAGCTCAGTAATTTTTAAATCTAGAATATTGTTGCACATTATGATTCAATTTTAGTTAATTTAGTTAATTTAGATACAAATTTCCTTAGGATAAAAGTAAGTCATAAGACTAAAATAATATTTTGTTGTTATTTATTTATCCAGGGTTTAGTGACTCATATTAAATTGAAACTAAGCAAGACTGCTTAGAATTTATATAAACTTAAGCTAAAATGATCTTGATTCCATCATTTTACTTTTCCATAATATTGTTGTCAAATGTGTATCAAGAGTAAACTTATTTCACATTAAGAGGTTAAAGATATTAGTGATAGATTTTATAATTTTAAATTTATATTGAACATGTGAACATTAAAGAGTATCTCATTGACTTCTACAGTTAAATTTTATCATTAACATTTTATGCATATGGGAATCTGATTTGCTCAATCATAACAAATATTCATTGATACTGTTTAAGTCAAAACAGAAAACCTGTGAATATATTATTTCCTGCCTCATTTCAGATTTGAAGATTGATGAAAAACATGCTTTAATACCGAATTCTTTGATCTTCAAACCTGAAAACAATGACAAATATTTTTAAATACCAGAGACCATGTACTATATTAAGGAAGAAAATGAGAAGACAATAATTTTGATATGGAAATGTTAGAACTCAATCATTACACCTCTGATACATGAACTTCATCTTCTGTCACACTCTTACTGATATACATACTACTCTCAAAAGAGGGTAATGGAGGGACAAATATTATTGATTTAAAAACAATTCCACATACAAAATAGTAGGATTTTTTTCCTTCGGTGACTTCCTCTGACATATTTTCAAAGGAAAAAATGATTAATTGAATGTATAGGAAAGCTGTCAAACATCATGGCAGGCTTTTGGTGTTAGTAATTTTGTTTTCATCAGTAATTGGCTTATAGTACTGGCATTTCCTTCTTCTCTACTAATTAGTTGTTATAGACTATCACTTTTTAATGTGAGTGAAAATTAGATAATTTGGTTATACTTGTGAAAACATGCTCCCAAATAAATTCAATTAATGGACACTTCCCTGCTGAGATTTTGTTATCATTCATTTAATTGGCTTGCCAAGCTTTACTGTTACAGCAATTGTTTTAGCTGTTTAGTCGATAAACTAAGAGGATGTTTCTAATAGGCTTCTACCTGACTTGTGCTTGATATGGGATCAATGTGCACATTGAACTTGAATCTGAGGTCTGCTCAAAAAATTATCAGCATCCAGGCACGAGTGGTTCATGCCTGAAATCCTGAAATCCTAGTTACCCAAGAGGCTGAGATCTGAGAATTGAGATTTGAAGCCAACCCAGACAAGAATGTTCTTGATCTCAAATTAACCAGAAGTAGAACTGACCAGCATAATAGGAAAGCAAGGAAGGAAGGAATGAAAGAAGAAGGAAGGAAGGAAGGAAGGAAGGAAGGAAGGAAGGAAGGAAGGAAGGAAGGAAGGAAGGAAGGAAGGAAGGAAGTTAGGTTGGGAGGGAGGGAGGGAGGGAAGGAAGAAAGGAAGGAAAGAGGGAGGGAAGGGAAGAAAGACAGGAAGGAAAGAGAGGGAGGGAGAGAAAGAGGGAGGGAAGAAGGGAAGAGGATGGAAGGAGAAAAAAGAAGGAAAGAAACAAGAAAGAAAAGAAGGAACAGAAAGAAGGAAGGAACGAAGGAAGGAAAGAAAGAAGGAAGGAAGGAACTGAGAGAGGAAGGGAGGGAAAGAAGGAGGGAGGGAGGGAAGGGAAGGGAAGAGAAGGGAAGAAAGGAATAGAGGAGAAAGAGCCAGTAGCCAACTTGATTCTAATATCATACTTGCTGTGATTTGGTTTTAATTTGGAACTTTACCATATTTGTATGCAGGCTCAAAATATACAGATTAGAATAGCCATGTACAGGGCTTAAGTGTCTTTTCTCTTGGATTTTAATTTCTAAAATTTATCATTTATAATTATTCTAAAACTTTGATTTGAAAGGTGAAATGGGATAATTAGTTATCAAATCTAATAGGAGAATGTTATTTAAAGATTCTTTTATT